TCCAAACAGCTTTGATTATTTTTAAGGTGATACAGATTTGTATAGTATATAAGTAGCTGCATAAAGGTGAGCAGCGTAATTATGGAGCGCTTTGGATCTGATGGAGAACATCGCCAGTGGAAGGATTCAGGAGTCCTTCCACAGCAGATCAGAGACTATCCTGATCTACTGGGAAATGTTGATGAAGGTTTTTTAGAGCTTAGATTGCCCAGACTGATCATCACGGAGCTTTGAGCAAAACTTAAAGAAGGAGCCGTGCGGTACCGGTACCAGTCCTGCCAGCATGCCTAGGTGGGTCCCATATGGGGAAAAGGAAGGCAGACCAGATGGGTCCCATTTGGGTTTGTCCGCGGGTTCCACGGTGGCCCCACATGGGTTTGCCCATGTAGGGCCACAGCCGAGGTGGGCCCTAAACGGGCCCTAAATGGGCAAACCCATGTGGGCCCACCACCATGTAGGGCCCATGTGGGCTGTGGCAAACCCATGTGGGGCCACCGTGGAACCCGCGGAGAAACCCATATGGGACCCATATGGGCATCCTGGCAGGGAGTCCAGCTGCAGTCATCCTTCAGTCGAGCCGCCCGCTTTGTGAATGCGCCTTTATGGACAGAAAGCATCTCTATTCTGTAAATGTACAATTTATGCACATGATTTCTCTATTTACAATAAACATTACCACTCAAAAACGCTCTGATTCTGTCTGTCTTTGAATCCCTGCTGAACGCGCTGTTCAAACAGGCATTTGCACTTGAATCTCTTTATTGTTTTTTTTAATCATTATTATTATTTAACTTTTTTTCTTTAAAATGTATTATTTTTATTTTGTGAGTTGATCTTATGTGCCCTGAAAGAATATTTTATATAAAATATATAATAATTATTATTATTATAAATACTTATACTGCTACAAACAAGGCCGTTGCCATGGTTATTGCTTCACGAGGAGGCATACTTCCGGGTATTTATACTAATTTACATATGGATTTAAGGGTGGCGACAGGGCGGATCAGCAGCTGAGCTCTATTTCCCGCAAATTAAGATTTATAAAGGAAAGGTGTGCATGTGATGTGCACGGCTTTATTCATCCAGATTTTTTTGTGCGCCGCACTTTGTCCGTACGCCAAGTTTTAGTGTGAAAACTGTGCACTCTTTTACATGAGGCTCCTGGTCCGCAGATTTTAAGCAGATCAGACAACGGAGATCAACTAAGATCACTTAGTCACTTATCTGTACCTAGAGCAGAACAGAGACTATGTTGCTCTAATTAAAGAATGAAACTAAGGAACCCAAAACAACCCGAGATCCTGCTGACACATCCTCCAAAGTCGTGAGGAAAATTAGCTGTGGTTTAGAAAAAAATTAGAGAATCCTGAAAAAATTCTCCCACGGGAAGTCTATTATGTCACCAGTCTTGTTTACTTCCTGAAGGCATTCCTCTCCTCGTTTCGTCTTTGAATTTACTTTCGTTTCCTGTTGTTTCCATTTGGAGGTGGAAAAAAGCACAACTTGTGGTATTGGCTCCAAATAAAGGTAATGTAATCAGTTCTTAATGTTTGATTCTGAAATCAGCGCATAACTGCAGATACATAGTTCCCGTCAAGAGTAAAGCGAGTTGTTCAGCAGAAGTTTGCAGGCTGCCCGTGGAGGGAGCCGAGGAGCCAGACTCTCCCCGCTGCCTAACCCCACGAAGGCGGCCTGAGACCGAGCGGATACCCGCTGATCGCCTCGTCTTGACATTCACTCCAGAGCTCCACGACTAACTGCAGATTGGCGTTAAATGACACGTTTTTTCCCCGATCTGCATCAGTCAGTGTTTACTGCGGAACTGAACGTTCCAACATATCAAACTGAAGATCTGATGAGTTGATGCTAATTCAGCGCCATGGATCACCGGACGGAGGAAGAGAAGAACGAATTTCAAGGAAAGTATTTCAAGAGCGCTTCACTTGGAAAAATGTGAGAACACCATCTCCAAGATCAATAATTTCAGCAACGGACTTTCTACACCTGTTGGCTTCAAAGTTTCTTTGTGTCATCAAAGCTCTTCACTGATGTGCACATTCTTCACACAGACGTAAAGTGACAGCAGAGATCCCAAGTGGTCAGAGAATTAGTCTCTGGTCAGAGAAGTCACACATTCATTTTCAACGGATACTGCCTACTTATGAACAAAGGTGAGCTGTTTCTAAATGTTGTGATGTAAAATGTTTATCGTTATGTAGCAGTCAGTACGAGTTTTGTAAAAAAATAAATAAATAAAAAAATTACTCCACTTCAATGGCCTTACTGGAAAAATATCTGTCAGAATGGACAAGAAACATAACCGCAGTGAAGTTAGTTTCAAATTGGTTAATGGATATTCGCGCTCCGCGGAATAAGCGGCGTGTAGCTCAAGGTTGATCCGATTTCTGAACGCTAATTTCGGCCAGCCGTTCTCTACCGCTCCCTCCTCAAGCGCCCGGATGTTCACTTGGGGACCGTCAACAAATTTCCGAACCAAACATTTTAAACAATTTTAATATTAAATATAATTGCTGATTTTGAGTCAATAGGTCACATGATCTAGAAGCTATTGAAGAAAAATACAAAAATTTGACTAAAAACATAGCTGAAAAATTACCTAAAATGGAATAAAAATAAGTGTACCTCATCTATACAGACTAGTAGAACAATTTCACACTGATCTTGAGTCTATGGGGCACACCATTTGGAAACTATTGAAGAAAACGTATTATTAAGTGATGTAAATATGGTGTACCAGGAGTAGCACATGAAAGGCTAGTTATTTAGAAAACAGTTTTTAGAGATAAATAATCTAAGATCTGTCCTCCTCCTTGCAGGGTGGAATTTTCTGGAGACCATAAGTTGAGAGAGAAACTGACAAAGTGTAAGTGTCTTTAAAATGGCTCACATTCAACCATCTCACATTCAGGAGTCCTAATCTAATTCTGAAGGCATAGTGCCCTCCACACTTCTGGGACCCATGAATACGTAGACTGCTCATGGAGCGGGTCGGCCCGTTGCTGCGATATGTCACAGCGTCCGCCATATTGAATGTGGCTTCTCTCCCAGTAAGCTAATACAAGTGAAAGGACCAAACTTCACAAAGTGCCGTTCTTCAAAGTATTTTAAGTTAATACCTGTTATTGACACATTTTCTCACACACACAAATATATTTGGTAATCAAAGAAATGACTAAAGACAGAGTTTCTAACTTTTGATGTGATTATTTAATTGTTTTGGGGCATTTCTGAATAAAGAGCACAATGTTTTTTTTGATAGAAATTATTCTGACTTTTATATTGACATTGATGAACAGAAACACTTTTACAGTGTTTTAATAAAGAACATATTTACATATTTTCTCTCGATGAAGGCGGACACTTTTTTTCCTCTGCTCCCTCCATGCGCTTGCCTGCCCTGCTTGCTCTGTTTTTGTCCTGTCTTTTTCTATATTTTTGGAGCCTTTCTTTGCACATCACCCCGAGTTTATTCATGATAACAGGATTTCTGCTGTTTGGAGTTGCGGATACCTGGTTTATCGTCAACTTTGTGACGGACTTGGCCGAACTAGCGAACACTCAGACTGTTGGTGTGGACAGAGACTCAAGTTGGATGTGAGTCTTGCTGAGACTCGCAGCCCAGCTGAGGACTCAAAAACTCACTAACGGGATGGAATCAATTTTGGAGAAGTTGCTAGTTTCGGCTCAGTGGAACGGCCAAACTAATNTGGACAATTGGGNANTGAGATGTATCGGAGAGACTTTAGGGAAGATTGAAATTTATAATCTTCCCGACCTAAGACATTCTGTATCTGAATTGGCTTTTCCCGTGTGGCCTTGGAAGGGCTGCATATTTCCAATCTTCTTGAAGATATGTAAACATAACGCTCTTTCCCACCTCACCCCAGCTGAGCTCTCCCAAGAACATCATTCCTTGATAACAACACCTCTATCGGACTTTGCCAGGAGGCTCAGCCACCTGGTTTCATG